CATGATTCAGGCGTAGAAAGCAGAAGATAATGGTAATTTATCTGCTTCTTGAATTCAGGACACACTACTTATTCTCAGCGAAAATTACGCTTTGCTTTTTCCTTGTTTCGTTAGTTCATCTAGAGGTCCCTGGTGGAATTTTTAACAGAGACGGTATTAGTAATGCTCATGGCATCATCCACGTGTAAGGAGTCTGTTGTTATGGAATCAGATAGTAAAATCGCACAATACATTTCTTTTCCTTCCAGGAAGCAGAAGGTGACAATTTCTTGTGCCATTCATTTCATTGACATAGTCAGCTCCTTCAAATATTTTGATGACACACATCAGCTTAAGGCACTTGCTGAAATTTCCTATGTTAAAGGAATAGCAAAATGCACACTGAAGGCACATCCTAATATATCGTATGTGTGGGCAATTCCCATAGTTCAGAGCTTTCCAAACTGTGTGTTGCAACATGTTAGTGTGTCGGCTGCAGTGTGTAGGTGTGTCATGCTCCCCACTCTCCTCCTGGAACTAGAAAGTGGTTAGGTTAACCTCTGGTTTGCTAGTAAAACTGAATTACTGTGTCACGAAATGATGCATGTCTAAAAAAATGTGTCGCCAACATGAAATGTTCAGAAAGCTCTGCCACAGTTCATGCCTCGGCAATGTCCACATAGCTGACAGGAAGAACTGTGGCACCAGCAGGTGGTGTACATTGTATATAGCTAGTTTCTCACCCTGGGACAAGTGGAACAACTCCTCTACTTTAGGCTGTGTGCCTCAGCCACCCCTATCAGGTAAACAATAAGTCATCATCTTGCCAACAGCTCCTTGCTGTTGTACACACTGCATATTTCTTAACGGTTAAAATTATTCAGAGAGAATTTCATCACACCCACTCAACATTATACAGCTAGGTTGAAACTGAAAAACTGAAAACAGTACCCAAGCATTCACTCAGAAACATGTTGTAATGATGATGGCCCACAGCTTGACAGCCATGGAAGACACCCTACAGGCAGGAACACAACCAGTGTCTCATCAATGTCTCACCATGGCCTCAACCTCAATCCCAGAAGGCTGACTTGTAAAATACAATGGTTGATGGTCCCCAAAGTCACTGAGAGAGCAAGGAGACCTAACAGAGTCACCCACCCATATCTCCACGACCTTCTTTCTCAGCTCTGGCAGGGAGGTTGTTGCATGGCGGGGTGGGTGGGACTTCAACAGGATCTCAATGACCCAACACTATGTGCAGATCCTTAACCCAAGCCTACTGGCTTCCTGATGAAAGATGAAATGATGGAAACAGCAGAGGTTCTGTTAGTGTCTTGGTTCATTCACCAAAGGGGAGATCTCTGAGAGGCCCTAGTCTGCTGTTCTCACCACAGAAGAGAAACAGGCTAAATAGCCGCTTTGCCCATTCCACATGCATAGGTGGAAGAAGCTGTGGTGCCTATTAAGGGGAGAGATTTTGGAATCTGGATGTGCTAGGTCAAACAGGAAGCTTCTATGAGCCAGGCTGACCCTTGTGGAGGCTCCCTGCCCAGTTCAGGACCCTGAAAGACCATACAGAAGGCCTGTATGGTACAGGAAGTACTTAAGTACAGGAAACTCCACACTTCAAATGTTTGCCTTCCAAATGATGGAAGGTGATGGGAACAGGGACAGCAGAGTTAGCATGCTCATCCCCACTGTCTCTTGCATGTTAAATCAACAAAGAAGTAGAATGTCTGCTCCTTCTACCCTCTTCATTGTCCTTTTCATATTTATGAGAGAATGGTGTTCATCAGTGCAAAATACTTGTTTAGTAAAAGGTAAAGGTAAAGGTAAAGGACCCCTGACAGTTAAGTCCAGTCGTGAACGACTCTGAGGTTGTGGCACTCGTCTTGCTTTACTGGCCAAGGGAGCAGATATTTGTCCGCAGACAGTTTTTCTGGGTCATGTGGCCAGCATGACTAAGCTGCTTCTGGAGAAACCAGAGCAGCACACGGAAACGCCGTTTACCTTCCCGCCGGAGCAGTACCTATTTATCTACTTGTACTTTGACGTGCTTTCGAACTGCTAGGTTGGCAGGAGCTGGGACCGAGCAACGGGAGCTCACCCCGTCACGGGGATTTGAACCACCAACCTTCTGATCGGCAAGCCCCAGGCTCTGTGGTTTAGACCACAGCGCCACCCACGTCCCCTAAGTTGTTCAGTAGAAATCAATAAATAGCAACATGGATGGAAAAGAACAGAAGGCGGAAATGATGGTTAATCACATGGGTAAACACACAGAGGCTGTAATCTGTGCTCTCTGCCCCCATGGTAAACCTAGTATTACCATGAGACTGGCTTCTCTAGGTTGCCAAAGTATTTGTGGAAGGGGTGTAACAAAGGTCCCAAGGTGTTGCAGGAAGCTCCAGGTGGCAGTCTGCTTGTCCATGCAATTACAGCCACCACATGGGACATTTTTAAACAAATGACTGTGTTGCAACCAATATCCTGTGTTGTCAGCAATAACTTGTATCCACCTTGATTTTATAGCACCAGTGTAAATATCTCCACTTTTGTTGCTGGGGGGGGGGGGGAGATTGGTATACCCTCTAGTTACAGGTATCCATTTCTCCTTTTGAGATATGAACATGGTCATTTGTTTCCTGTGTCAATGGAATGATTTGCTTCCTGAGTCAACAAGTGATATGTTCTGGGCTTTTATTACCACAGTAGGGAAGGATTATGTACCCAGAGCAGCTGTTGGGCAGCAACATGATCACTACGGATTGTTTGTAACTGTTTACTAAAGAAAGATGCAGTAGCAGAGGCCACTCATCTTCTCTCTCTTGTCCGCAAGTTTCTAGGGATAATTATGCTTTTAGAAGAGTGTAAAATGTAGAACACAAGTGCATAAAACAGTTGGATCATGTGTGCTTGAAATTCGTTCTGATCTGAAGTAAAACTTAATCAACTACAATTGTCTTTTTAAAAAGAACTTCAAGAATGTGTGTGAGAGACAGGAAGACAGAGGCTACAGAGTTAAATTCCCCATGTTAAAAAGTTACAATTTCTGGCCATGTTCCTGACCGTACATAAAACTGTTTGTTGGAAATAAGCATTCCTCCAAAGTCTCAACAACAATAAATCTGGCTGATGTGTTTTAAAGGATGTGTCACTTTATTAGTTAGATGGCTTGCTAATTTCTCCAAACTGCTCCAAACACTTTACGCCATCAGCACCAGGCCTCTTACAGTTCCTTGAGCAATTTTCAGGAATGGGGTGAAGAAGCCATCAAAGGCTTTCTGCATGAAACCAGATGCAAAAGAAAAACTCCGCACATCCTCAAGCACGTTCCTCTCTTTTATTATAAATCACAGACTCTAATGAAAACAAGTCCCAATATTAAGCACAGGCTGAAATCACACCCTAGCAAAGTTGTCCTAAATTCGGAAATGTTTTGCTCTGGACACCTCACACTTACAAGAAACTTAAACTTTATCCACCCAGCCCAGAAGGTTGTGTCTGGGAAACTGCCTCTCCTGAGCTGGGAAACGGTTCAGAGGTCATTCCAGCTGGAAGCGCCGCCGCAAACTTTCCCGCTGTCTTGCTAATTCCAAAGTTGCTGCCGGCAGTTCTCTCCACACTGACCCCTTCCTGAGCTTCTTTGATCTTCTGTGACTTCTCGCTCAAAGCAGCAGCGCACCGAGAGGGGGAGCAAAGGAAAGAGAAACGAGTGAAGTCCCGTTAGGAACTGCTCCAGATTTATTATATTTTGGGGTGGGGTGGGGGGGTGGGCAGACAGCAGAGTCTTGTGTCAAGTTAAAGGCGGCTGCAGCTTCATCATGGCATAAGCTTTCGTGGACCATCATCAGATCAGTTGCACGAAGTGGTACCCCCCCCCCCAAGTTGGCAGTAATACGGTAAATTGTGGGTGGTAGTACGTTGCGAGCTTCGAGGCAATGCAAAAGGGGCGTCTCCCCCCCCCCCCCTAAGCACAACATGTCGAAACTCTCCAAGTTCTCCAGGCACCGTTTCTGCCGCGGTTTCCTACGCCTACCGCCAAGAGTAGTTGGCCCATGATCCGCGCGATTTGAAAAGGCAAAAAGAAATCCGATTTTCTTCCTGGTCCCTTTCAATTGCGATTCCCAGTCACGCGAATGCCCCCGTGTTATCGCCCTCTCCCGATCATAAACACAGGATCTTGGATTATATAATTAGGATGGAAATTAAGAGTTCCGACTGGCGTTCGTTTATTATCTCTCGCCCCGCGGCTCTCACCATCGCCACGCAAATGAGCGCGGCATCAAAGCGGGTCTTCCCACCACTCCGCCCTTCCAGGCACGCTTGGGAGCCGGCGGGTGAGAAGTCTGCGCCTCCCTGCGGGTGTTGCTGGGACTCCACCTCCCATCAACCGCAGCCAGCATGGGATGATGGAAATTGGAGTCCCAGCAACAGCTGAAGAGCCGCAGCGATTGATCGCAGAGCCAGCAGCTGCCCCGGATTAATTCGCAGAAAGAGGCTCTTCCTTCCAAAAATCCCCGCTGAGCTTTCTTTGCGCGTCGCTGCCAGTGGGGAAGACGCGCGTGGATATTGGCAGCGCCCCCCCCGCGCGGCTGCCTGGACTCATTTGGGACAAAGAGCGGGATATAAATTTAAGAAATAATTAGCACACGTACCCCATTGTGTGTGTGTGTGTGTGTGTGAGAGAGAGAGAGAGAGAGAGAGAGAGAGAGAGAGAGAGGAAGAAGAAGAACCTATTTATATGTCCCAAATATAGAGGCTGGCTGGAGTGGGCGCTCTTCTCCCTTTCAGCCCCAAGCACAGGAACGGGTGGAATTGAAAGGCGCAGCGGGAGACGTTTCACGCCTTTCTTCAGCGTCACCCCTGGAAGCAAGGCGCCGATGGTTTGTGCCCTCGGCGACTCGCCTTACGACTCCGGCTCGGGAGAGTTCATATCTAGGGAGGAGGGGTGTGTGTGTGTGAAGAGGGAACCAGGTCACGCGACCTCTTGAATCGACGGAGAGCTGAAAACTTTTCGAGCTTGCCTGTCTCCTCCTCTCTTCCCTCAGAGAGAGAGAAGAGAGACACGCCTCCCATTGGCCGCCGCCGAGGAGGGGCCCTGTGTCCCCGCCCCCCCAGAAGAGAAACTCCCACCAAGGGCACCTCTGCTTTTCCCACGGATGAGCCGGGGGGCTGCAACATCTGGCTGGCTGGTGCAGGTGAGAGGGAACGGCTAGCGCGAGTCCGCGCGCCACGGCGGGACTTTGGCTGGAGCCCGAAATAAATGCCCCCCCTCCGCTGCAGCCCACCCCCCTCCCCGGCCCCTTCTGCCCCCGCCTCCCACTCCCGCGCCCCCTTCATGGCTTTGTCTGCCTGAGCCCCTGTGAGGAGGCGGCGCGCGGGGAGCATGGAGAGACGCGCTCGCGGTCTGGCTCGCGCGGAGCCTCCCCTGGTGTGAAGGCACCCGAGAGGCGGAGGAGCCCGCCGGGAAGAGCACGGCAGCCGCCGGACCCTCGGAGACCCCGCGCACTCGCTGCAGGTAATTCGCGGCAGCGGCGGAGGGGGAGGGACCTGAAACCCTTTCGGCGTCTTTCTTTCCGTAAAGGAGATGCCCGACCGTCTTCGTAGGAGGGTGAACGGGATTCGCAGCGATCCTTAGGATTCCCAGCTGACGGAAGGAGCAACTCTTTGTTCTTCGCGTTGTTCCTCGCCCGCCTCCCATATGTATATTTTAACATGCACTTGTAGGAGCTGGGGGGGGTATGTTGCAATAGATTTCAATTGGAGAGGGGGCAGAGTGATAAAATGGGGGAGGCAGCGTTCCCTAAAATGGGGCACCCTTGCCCAAAAAAGGGCCACGGCACGTGAAGCGTCTCCCCGCTGCTCTGTGCAGCTGCTACACCCTCTTTTGTTTGGCTCTGAAATTCTTCAGCAACAATTCCTTACCAGCTTCAAGGCGCAAGAAATGGACGGGGAAAACGTTGGCATTCGTCCAAGGGTAGTTTCTTGTCTATTTTTAAAGGAACTTGGCATTTTCTATTTAAATTTTTGTGCTGGTTTCCACACACAACACGCAATCACCCTTGCTTTGCCGAATATTTACAGGGATGAGAGGGACAGATGGAAACTATCAAGGGGAGTGTACTTTTCCCATGACAGAAATGAAAAGAAACACATGCCGTTCTTCCCTTAAATCAGGTTAGGGTTTCAGTCTGGATTGTTAATTGACCAGACAGATGGTTGTAAGAAGCATGTCATGCTCAGATGACCTGTTAATGAAGAATTTAAATAGCCCATGTTTAAAATTAACAAGGTCTTGGTCACATTACATAGAATTCAGGCCATCTGCTCCTTTACGGTAGTACATAAAAAGTGTAGAGATTTTCCTAGTTTAAAATTTTCAGGAATGGAAGAACTGTTAGTTTGTGTCCATTTAAACTGCAGTAGATAAACTACACTTGGAAAGTGGGATCCCAAGTAAAACCGAAAATGAAAGCTCAGACAACAAATTCTGGATAAATTGAAGTTCTCAGAAGTTGTGCATGAGAGGGTTGTGCATTTGGTACATTCAATGGACCTTTTTCTGTAGTATCAGCTTTCCTTTTGACTCCCACTACCAAATACAGCATTCAATAAGTGTGGTTTTATCATATAAGTTGCAATCTTGCACACAATGTGTCTGCTTAAAGCTCATTGACGTCACAGTTAATTGGCTGCAGATTGTGTTCAGGATTGCAACCAGGTATTTAGATATGGAACTATCCTGTTCAGTAAAACTACAGCTCAAAAGAAATTCCATATTTTGGGACTTGGTTCTGTAACTTGGTGTTGTCTGATATCATACAAGTAAAGCACACGCCGAATTTCTATTTGCGTATAATGGACCGCATGAGAGAAACATTTCTCCCTTTTGAGTTTTTGAGAAGGGTCTACTAAGAAGAAGCTATATTCTTAGTAGATTGAACTATGAATAGTTGAATGATTTGGCAATAGTGCTTCATCTTGTTTCTAAACGGGAACATTTTAGTGTCTACATCATGTTGCCAGTAACATTTCTTTTCTAGCAAAATACTTGTTAGAGTATAATTAAGAGGCAATTTCAGTAATTTAGTGCATGGATAACAATTAGTCTTTTGTCCTGAGCAGAAAGCAGTGTTCATGCAGAGAAAAGCTCAAGTGCAGATATATAGCAATTTGGAGAAGAAATCATATGTAATTTGTATTGTGTTGGCATAGGAACATATTTTACTTGTTGCTCTTTCATTGACATCAGTGTGATTCAGATGGAAGTGCACTGCAAGGAGAGCGAAAAAACAAAACCGACCTGAAGTCACAGTCCATGTTCACCCTTCACAATAGAGGTGCTGGCTTTATTGCATGGTTTATTGCAGGGGTCAGCAAACTTTTTCTGCAGGGGTCTGGTCCACTGTCCCTCAGACCTTGGGGGGGCGGACTATATTTTTTGGGGGGAAATCCCCTCCACTGAAACACCCCACCCTTCTCCACAGCACTGGACGAGCCCCAGTGGCTGCTTACCTGTGCCTTGCGAGCGGCAGGGGCTGATGGCGGCAGCGGCGGAGGGACGATGAGCAGCGTGAAAGGGCTGGCTCCGGAGAGGGGTTGCTTAAAATGGTGCTCAGCCAACTGTGGCTCAACAAAGCCCAGCCCCCTTTGTCCTCTAGGCAGGGTGGGGTGAAGCCAGGAGGAGAGAGGGAGGAGGTGCCGCAGTGGTGTGTGTGAGGTGGGGGGGGGGGAATGGCGCAGCCCAAACAATCAGAATCCTCACGCCAATCCACACGGCAATTTCCGGACCATTGGCGGGCCAGATCCAGAAGGCAATTGGGCCAGATTCGGCCCCCGGGCCTTAGTTTGCCAACCCATGTTTTATTGGGTATGTGCAGCCTGATGGTGCACACTACCCAATCACTTCCGCCTCTCCCTGGCATCCGTGAGAGAAACAAACTAAACTTGACATCCAAACCCTGGTTCCTAGTTTTTCTCCTAACAAGCCAGGATCACTAGCCAGCCTTAAAACATGGTTTGTAGTTGGCTTACAAACAATGGGTTGTTAGGGAGCAGCAAACCAAGACACTTAATTACCGTTGCTTGATTTGTTTCTTCCCACTTGTGCCAGGAAAGAAGTGGAGTAGGGGCCATCAGGTAGTCTGCCTCAGTATGCTGCTCATTCACAACATACTATGGCAAGCCAGCAACCCTGCCATATGGTGACATGCAAATGTGGCCACTCCTTCCTTCACATGTGGAAAGTTTGGGTCAAATTAAGACTGCCTGTCCTCGTATGCAGATCTTGGACTTATTGAGTGGCCCTGAAATGAGCATGCAGCTTCAGGTCTTGAGGGAACATGCATATGCATAATGCTTCACACAAATAAAGCTTTTCATACCTGCAAGTCTTCTGTGAGACTTATCTCTTTCATATACACCAGGGATGGGAAGTCTGTGACTCTTCAGATGCTGTTGGACTCCAGATCCTGTCAGCCCAGCTAATGGTCAGGGATGGTGGGAAGGCTACAGTTTCCCCATCCCTGATGTACACACTGACACCTTCCTCCTCAATACTTGCACATTTCCTCACACACTGCTGCTTAAATGCACTTTACCTTTGCCTCTTGTCTCTTTCTCTCTTATCCAAGCTCTCCTCATCGCTACTAATGGAGAAGAGAGATCTGAAAGAAAGCCTTCATCAAGGACATACAAGGCTTCACAAATGTTTTCAGATGTATCTGGATAACCTTGCACCCTGTATTATGTGAATAGTGTCTCTGTGTGCATTAATGGGGGAAAGTGTGCCATTATGAATACACCCCCCTTTTTATGGATGGAGGATTTTATGGATGCAGGATGGAGATTGAATTCCATGTCAGGGAAACATAGGAAGGAAGATTCCTTATACTGAATCATACCACTGATTAATCTAGTTTTGTATTGCATGCACTGACTGGCAGGAGGTCTAGGATTTCAGACACAAGTCTTTTGTAGTTCCACCTGCAGTTGCTGGGAGCTGAACATGGAAAACTTCTCTTTGCAGTACATACATTCTACCAGCTATCTATGCTCCTCATGATGACAGTGTGGGAAGCAGTACTATATCCTGGCTGGTTTTTCCTAGTGGCTGAAAAATATGTCTAATTTGGCTGTGGCGCCTCATTCTACTTTCTTACTGAATATTCTTAGCACAGACATACACAAGCCTAGTGCAGGAACCTTTGTTGTGATAACCTGAAAAGTCTGGCTGCATTCAGGTAGCAACCTTCTTACAGCACTGATTATGACTGCATTCACATGGCCCTTTATTCTGTTTTTCTGACATTTCCCTAACTGCTGATTTCTGCATTGTATTTGAGCCGTAACATGACATAAAAGCCACTTCCACAAATATAGGGGATTATAGTGCAAGCTATTTCCATGTTACTTGCTTCTAGAAAAAAAAAACCATCTGCAAATAACACAGAAATGAGCACTAAACTTGTGCTATATACCACTAAATTTGTGGAAGTGGCCTTTATATAATGCAGAAATTGTAAGGAAAATGTTGGGGAAACTGGCATAAACTGCCATGTGAATGCTGACTATGTGACTTAGTGAATGGTATCCTATTTGGGTGGGAAAATTCAGGGAACTGATCAGGACATCCTTTGTTTAGACCAGTTGGAACAAACTGGCCTCCAGGTGTTAGACTGCATCTCCCATCATGATCCTTTGAAGGAGGGGGGAATTTAGCACTCAGATAAAGAAAGATGTTTTGACTAAGTTTATAGAACTAATATTAAGTGGACATTCCTCTGATGTTGGCACCATTGTCATGGTTTGTAGCATTGGCACAACATTATGGTTTATAATGTGTCTTTGGTGACGATGTGTCTTTGGATGTCCTTTGTCCTTAATGCAAGAGGGAAAATCATATAATCCAGATGATGATGATGATGATGATGCCATCAGTTGTGGAAGAGTCATTAACAACCCCTCACTATGTGCATGAACTTGAAACATACATTAGATATATGCAAAGGAATAGGGCAGGTGAAATATTAATACAGTGGTACCTTGGGTTACATACGTTTCAGGTTACATACGCTTCAGGTTACACACTCCGCTAACCTAGAAATAGTGCTTCAGGTTAAGAACTTTGCTTCAGGATAAGAACAGAAATCGGGCTCCGGTGGCACAGCGGCAGCAGGAGGCCCCATTAGCTAAAGCGGTGCTTCAGGTTAAGAACAGTTTCAGATTAAGAACGGACCTCCAAAACGAATTAAGTACTTAACCCGAGGTACCACTGTAGCACCCTTTAATTATGCTTGGTTTTATAACAGAATTAATTTAGCAAAGATAACATTACATGATATGAAGTGTGATAATTTTTCAATATGGTCCAGAACCTTCCCAATTAAGGTTTGCGGCGTCTTTAAAGAAATTACTGTAATTAAAAATGATATGTGTAGGAAAATAACAAGCACCCCATAGATAAATTAAATCTGGCATAGATTGATGAGTTTGTAGAGAGGACTGCTGACCCTTGAT